CACTTGCAAAAATAAAGGTAAGGGGCCACAATGTGTTGCACCTGAGCCCCTGGATTCGCTGGTTCTTCACCTACGTGTGATTCACCCATTGTTGCCCCCCACGAACCTGCCTGCCTTAGGTTGTGCTCGTGTGTTTTGTATTGAAATGAAAAGTCTTCCTCTCTCCTATCCATACCTTTCCTTCCTGTAAAGACAGACATGTGCTCACATTTACTCCAGAGCACATGTAAAGTAGAACATGCAGATTTGTACTTTTTTGTCCTCTGGGCCTGAGCCCGATTTTTTCAGTTCCCAGCACTGCCACTGTCTGGATCCCTGCCTTATCACCCACATATCCTCCTGTTAACATGAGTCTGCCTGCACTGTCAATAGGTGCCCTGTATTTTTGGCAATTTACCGCACAGGCCTGTCCCAGCCCATACCCAGAGGGGAAGGGAGTGGGTGGGAAGGAAGAGGGGTGGAGTTGTGCACAGGGATGAGAGAAGCCTGCTTGTTGTCAAGTGTATCGACAGCAACCAAACAGAAGAGGCAATGAAGCAGCTACGACCTGGTAGGCACATACATTTTCACAGGATTTCTCTGGCTTCAAGAAAATCTGTTCACAAACCTTCATGTGTATCTTCTGACCCCAGTTGACACTGACAAAAGGATTGCACTGAAAGAGGGAAATTGGACAAGACAGGCTTCCTTGGGGACAGTTCATGCAGAGCAGTGGTGGGGAACATGTAACTCTACATCTACATATAGTTCCTTATTAGCCAGTCGCCAAAACTCCAGTCGTGTTGGAACTACAACTTCCATTAGCCCCAGCCAGCATGTCCTACTGTCAGGGAATGTCTGGAGAGCTACAGGTTCCCTCCTCTTTACAGGTGGTAAGTTGCCCATATTTAAGATAATATATACCCTTTGCCAGCATAGAGTCTGGAAGTAGTTCAAGTGAAGCAAGAACAGCTACAAGAACCAGTGAGAGGAAGCCTCTGTCTTGAATCGAGGCTCTTGCTCCAGGCCCTGCCAGGATGGGTGAGGGGTCTGTGCAAAGCCCAGGCACTGATGTGATCTGAATATCTAGCAGGACAGGAGGGAACCGCTATTCATGCAGTGCTTTCCCCTGCTGGCTTAGACAGAGCAAGGGCCAAGCAGAAACAAAGCCGGGTTTGTTGCAATGGCTCCTAGCTGGTCAGGCAGCTGGGGGGTGGAGAATGGATGGTGGGGGCGGCGGGGAGAGAGAGAGAGAGAGAGAGAGCAAGGCTGGCTGGAATACTGTGGAGCTGGTGGTGGGGGGGGGGGGGGGGATGATGTATGAAATTTCAAAGAAGCTGGGGCCAGCAAGGGTAGCTGCCTGCACTCAAGTGGGCAAGACAAAGTCACCAAGCACACTGGACTGCTATTTTCAGCAGGAGTGAGCGCCTAGACAGCTTCTGCTGGAGGAAAGAGGTCCAGGTGATTGCAAGGCAAGGGCCTGATGGGAGACAGCACAGCCACTAGCACCGGACATCAAAGTGAAAGGACAGACAGGTACTCCAATTCCAGTCAAGTCACAGGATCCAAGGAATCCTTTTGGTGCAGCCATTTTCTCAACAGTGCGTGGCTTCACGCATGAGAGCAAGAAGTTGAATTCTTGAGACCTGTGTTTGTTGTTAGTCGCGAAGTCATGTCCAACCCATCGCAACCCCATGGACAACACTCCTCCAGGCCTTCCTGTCCTCCATCCCCCGGAGTCCACTCAAGCTCAGACCGGACTGCTTCAGTGACTCCATCTAACCACCTCATTCTCTGCCATCCCCTTCTTTTGCCATCTATTGTTCCCAGCATTAGGCTCTTTTCCAGGGAGTCCTTCCTTCTGATTAGGTGGCCAAAGTATTTGAGTTTCATCTTCAGCATCTGGCCTTCTAAAGAGCAGTCAGGGTTGATCTCCTGTAGGACTGACCGGTTTGATCGCCTTGCTGTCCAAGGGACTCGCAGGAGTCTCCGCCAGCACCACAATTCAGAGAGATCTGTATGTTACACATAAAATAGATAATGTGCAGCCAGTACAGTAAGATTTGAAGATGATTGGGCTGGTGTGTTCCCAGATGCATTTCTTTTCCCAGAAACTTCAGAACTTTCTCAGTAAGTTCATGAAGAACAGACAGTCTCCACCAAAAGCCAAGATATCCATGCCAGTTCCTCTTTTGTCTTTTCACCAATATTTATATCCTGCCCAAATAAATAATGCTGTCTGGTATAAGTTAAGAAAATAACCAAATGTCCTTCTAAAAAAGCAGAGAATAGAAACCTGCCACGGCATAAAGCAATGTAAATAAAGCCAGCAAGAGCAAGAAAATGGCAGAGCGATAAACCACAAAGGTCATAAAATATCTGGGGCAAAAACTATTCACTTGGTGTGGTGAAGACCACAATGTAGGTAGCAGCACAAGCCATCACTGAAAAGGCCCTTTTGCTGGTAGGCAGCCTGTGTCCCTCATTTGGCAGGTGCACTCTGAGAACAGGCATTCCTCCTCTAAAATTCCTCCAGCCACAAGGGTACTGTTGGTCATGTTCTAGAGTTGCTTCTTTCATCATGGTGCCCTCCTGATGTTCTAGTCATCAGCCTCAGCCAACATCACCAACGATAAAGCAATTTAGTCCAAAACATCTGGAAGACACCGAGTTGGGGAAGGCTATTCTAGGCACTGGCCGATGCCTCATTATGGACCAAGCATATAGCCAAGGCTGTGTCCCAAAGTCTAAAGCAAACCAATACCAAGATTCAATATGGCAAAAATTCCCTGAAGGTTGAAAGCTGGAAAAATGCAGGGTAAGAAAAACTGAAAATTCAGTCCATCATTAGCTATTGGCTGGACAATTTGGTATCCTCTGAATATTTGTGACTTGCTGGCCTCTCCAGAGAGCCAGTGTGATGAAATTAGAGGTTGTATACATGCAGTGGCCAGGAGGGAAGGATAAGATACAAAGAATGGTTCTCTCAGTGTTCTCAGGCCATACTTGCCAGAAACATCTAACTGATTTTATGGATCTTTGCTCTGATCCAGAAGAGCAATTCTTATACTCAATTCTTAAGTTACCATGAATCAGAAATTGGACTAAGTAAAGGTTACACATAGATTAAAGACAAAGTCTTGAGCCTCACTAGAGCACTGAAGTCTGGGACAGGAGAAAAGAATTACTAAGATAAGCCAGATTCCAGAAGGGTAGCTATATTAGACTGCAGCAACAAGAGCATATTTTTGGTAAAGTGCAATGCACCTTAGAGACTGAGACAATTGCAGTCCCTTAACTCCCAGAAAAATGCTATTAGCTCATTAGCTCAAGTTTTCTTACTATTTCCATTAAACAACTTTTACCTCCTTGGTCTCAGGTCCATTCCCACTATTTTTGGCAGTGGCTGGCCACTCTGCTGTCCATGATAGCCTTCTAGATAAGGAAAAACCCAATATCTTTCCTACTGCAGACTAGGAGGAAATTAGGGCACAGGGCTGACAGTACACACATAGCCACAAACCTGTGCAATGCTATGAGCAGCTGGCTGAGAGGTTTCCCTCCATTCAGTCTAGCAAACAGGGTTGACTGTTTCTTTATTGCCAAGGAAAGCAGGGCCATGGTGAAAATAAATCTTTGTGCTGTGGAAAAGGCAATAAAAGTTGGGCAGAAACTGCTGGTATATACAATAAAGAACTCCATACTTGTGCAATGAGTAGGTGGTACATAATTCTCCTCCCATTCAGGCTATACCAGCACAGTGCATTTAAAAGGCAAGCCTGTATACTACAACTTAAACATTACATTGTAGGGAAGAAAACAGCAACAAAAGTAATCAGGAGGTCAGAATGACTCCCTGTGAAGAAAGGATAGCTTTCTGGTTTAGCCAAAGGTTAAAGGATGTTGTAATCAGTTTACAAAATTATTTTGAGCATGGTGTAAAAAACTTAGTTTTTCTCCCTCTCACACAGTAATGAAACCAAGGGTCATCTTATGAGAGAAATTCAAGACAAGTAAAATTTAGTACACATTTCACACAAAGGATAATTAAACTATGGTCTCAGATGCTAGGTTTCAATGGCTACCGACATGAAGGGCTTTAAAAGAGAACTTAACAAATTCAGAATGTATAAAGTCCTCAATGATCCCTAGGCATGATGGCTCTAATTTCAGTATCAGAGGCAGCTTGACACTTAACACCAGCTGCTACTGGGCATCACTTGGGGGTTGCTATCATATCCATAGCTCAGTGGCAGAGCAGCTGCGGGAAGCCCTCAGTTCAATCCCTACCATCTCCAGCTAAGCTCAGGAAAGAATGTGCCTGCAACCCCAGAAAGCTACTGCCACTCAGTGCTAACAATCCTGGGCTACATGGCCCCTCTGTCTGATTCCATGAGTCAGCTTCCCATATGCCTATGATAAAAAAGATAGCATAGGGCTCACATGTAAGCATTGTGAAAAAGGCTTCCTTCATGTTCCTGTCAACCTGGGCATTATTTCTTCCGAGGAGACAGAATCCTCTTCTGCTGTGTCAAAAAGCTGTGCAGATTGTTAGTATCAGCGGGTAGTGGGGAGAAGTGAAGAGGTCTTCCCTTGCCAGTACAAGCTGAGGAAACCTTACAGCCGCTCACTCAAGCCTGCAGGATTACTGGTATGAAATAATCTGGCTAAAGCCTTCCTTCCCTCTCTCCTCTGTTGGCTCTGCCTCCATGTATCCAGTATCACTGGGGGGAGCTGCATGTGTACAGAGAATGTGAACGTCTGTGGGCATGCAAGCATATTCGCCTACATTAATGTGGCCCCACAGGGCCCATGCCAACAGTTATTCTGGCCCTTGCAGCCAAATAACTGCACACTCCCACTGTACAGGCTCTTCCCCCAAGGCCATGAAGGATTTGCTTCTCCAGATGGAAAAAGAATCCAGACAAAATGAATCTATAGTTTCCACAAACATGGAAGTGGGTGACTGACAGAAAAAGTGAAAATGAATCAGGAAGAGGAAATAAGACCAACATGCAACGACCAACACAAAATTGTTAATTTATTGTTATTAGGAGGCAAAAAATGTACTGTTACAAGATTCATTTCCCAACAAAGAAGGTCAAAAATGAGCCAAAAATATATTTAAAAAAGGAATAAATGACACTTTACAATTCATTAAATAAAAAAGTAAAATATCTCCTTGTGCAATTCTGTGAAAATGAGAACAGAGGAGGGGAAAAAAGATGCAGTTAGAAAGCCCAACCCCCTAATGGGAGCAGCTCTGTGCAGGATAGGGCCAGGCTGGGCCAAGCACTGCAGTCTCCCGCCTACCCATAGTTTAAATGGGATGGGGAAGACCTAGCTGCTTGAGGCCTGCAGTTGGTTGCCCTTAACAAAGAGGCAAGGGGGCCTGACACGAAGACATACAATCCTTCCTAGAAGCCCCTTCTGCTGTAGCTGCCACAATTCCCGAGGTAAGCAGATACCAATACAGGACAGTAGCCAGCTGTGCCGATCTGGATTATCCTTCCTAGACAGGAATGGCCACCCATGGCCCACTGCAGACTTTAGCTAGAAAACTCAAGCACCATATAGGACAGCAGACTGCAATGCACAATTGTCTCGTAGACAGTCATATGTGCGGGAATGAGAAAATGAGGACCCCTCTCTTCCGCTGCTCACTTGCTTAATGCCACAACCAAAGCGTCACACGTTAAGCTTGGTGAGGGGGACAGCAGGTGTTGTATACTTGTTTCTGAACTCATGGAGGACGGGGTGAGAGGTCCCTAGCCTAGCAGGCCAAGGAACGGCTCTTGCTCCTAGTCACTGGTCTGTGGCCTGTAGAAAAACCTGCAAACTGGAAAAAAGCACACTTCCCATTTCCTCCGCTTTCAAATCCACTTCACTGGGGTCTAGGATTTGAGGTGAGCATCCCAAGATCTATGTTCTGCCCACCCAAAGACTTGGAAGGGAACCTGGGCATAAACTGCTCTAAGCAGAAGAGTCTGTTTCTATGGATGGCCCAGGAACAAGGTCACCGTGAACCTCCAGGTCTGGTCTCTTTGGTGCAATTCTGGAACTCTTGGTCTAGATTCTGCCTTTTTGAATGATCAGGAAGCATGCACATTCTGAACCATCTACACCTCCTCAGGTGCTGATCCCATCCCTGCAGAAACCTCCTGCCCTGGGTGAAGTGCTAATATACCGGCCTGCAACGGGAGAGCACACATGACGTCCACCAGGTATGGATTTGTGCAGGGTGGCAGCAGCGGGAGCAGGGGCTGAAACTGAATCACAACACCTGTGAGGCCTCCTCACAGGTTTTAGACCAGAGGACTCAAAAGGGAACAGTCTGCTCTAGGAAGCTTTCCCCAGGGACTCATCTCCCACCCATATTGCTGTACAGCTTAGGGCAGCAAAGCAGGAAGCAGACTCACTAGAGGGCGTCAGATTCCATCATGGAGGGCAAATTAAGGTGCCAGAGGTGGAAGGAAGACGGTCTCTTGCAGGGAGGATACCACCCAAAACCATGCTCTTCTCCCCTGTAGAAAGGTCTCCGCTGTCCTGAGCTGCGTGCGACATGGCTAACACTGTGTCTGGTACTTCACTGCCTCTTCCATTTGTTGCTGTCCCTTCGACAGCCCACAGGCCCCATTTAGTAACAGCGAAATTGCTTAAATTAAAAAATTAAAATATATATACATATATATATATACTGTACACACACTGACGACAACAGAACAGTGCCAAAACCAGAGTAAGGAGCAAGGAAAGAGGGGGGCAGACAGTTTCTTTACAATAAAAACAGGAGTTCAATCTCAGCAGAAGAGGAGTCCAGGGTCCCCTAAAAATACCCATCTAGGGAAAGAGAGGCGGGAGAGAGGGATGGACAGAGCAGGAGATGGGGGAAGGAAGGAGGAGGTGCGCTGGGGCTTTTACAATGGCATCTTCCCAATCCAAGAGGCAGCCAACGGGCTCTCAGCTTCGCCGGGACTTTGAATGCTGGATAAGCCACTGTAAGGTGATGTCTGTCAAAGACAAGATATAATCCAAGAGAGACCGTCAAAGAGAAAGCAACATGCGCCAAGCTGTCTCCTGCTCAGCTAGACATTAAGAAAACCCGCAACTCGGAGAGAGGCACAGGTGGTTCCTCCAATGATCAGGCTGAGTTCATGATCCTGTCCTGCAATGCTACTGCCCAAACCCCTAGTCTCCTGAAAGGAATGACTCTTACCTGCAAAGGAGCTATTTCTCCACCCCTCAGCCTACAAGAACCTTCTTGCCCCACTCAGTGACATATCAAGTGGACATGCCCCAGGGACATGCAGTGCTCTTATAAGATCAGCTCCATGGCTCAAATGTTTCGGCTCACTGTGGTAACATCGTGGCAAAGCCACTACCTGCCCCAAGGTGTTCTGGTGTCTAAGAAGTACTGAGCCAATCAAATGCTGCTTTGGGGAACAGCAAATAAGGACCCTGAAGCAGAAGGGCTGTCAGACCTCTAATTGCTCCAACATCCTAATTGGCTGGACATGCTCCAAAGCCTGTCAGCTCACTGGCTCTTTCCAGGGAAAGATCTGTGACTCATAAAACTGCAGCCTAGACATGCCTTTACAGCATGCAAGTCTTGCCCAGCCTCCAGTTTTTCTGTCTACCAGGGTGTTATTTGCCACCCACTTTGCCTCCATCCCACTAGAACTGGCCCTGGTAGGATGTCCTCAGGAAAAGTCTTGGTATTATTGTACACTGAACTCCCAGTCCCACTCTTACCCTTCTAGTTGTGAAACATTCTGACCATGTCAGTCCCCTTTTCCTTTCTTCACTTACCAATGTTGTCCTTTTCTTTGCAAGAGATTGAATAGCAACAGATCTCTCGGTCCTGGATAGCAGAAAGATTCCTGCAGGGACAAAAGAAGCACAAGAGATTAGACATCCCTGGGGAAGGTGCTGCACACAGAGAATAGGACAAACAGGAGGGGAAGGGAGGGCAGGGTGTGATGTGTAGCCACTCTGCTGACCAGCAAGGGCAGCCAACCATGGTGAAACTCCTGTTGATAGAACAAGGGGAATTACCACTGCAGGATGCAGAAAAAGATGGTGTGGCACAGGGGTTAGAGTGTTGGACTGGAACTTGGGAAATTATGGTTCTAAGTCTCCATTTGGCCATGAAGCTTACTGGGCCAGTCATTCAGTCCAACCTACTTCTCAGGGCTATTCTGAGGTTAAAATAGAGAGAAGAATTGTGTAAGCTGCCTTGGTTACCTTGCAGGAGAAGAAAAGGGCAGGGTATCCATCTTATAAACAAACAAACCCCTTTGTTGTTTCTACATTATAAACAGAGCAATAGAAAGTCATCCTGGTCCCTCTCAAAGCTTCACTAACAGAACTGATGTAAAAATCTACTCTTCTGACTCTCCCTGCCTCCTTGAACCAACTGTTGCTTTTTGAATTTGAATTACTGTCACCTTTTAACACGTGATAGTGATAAAATGCCCCTGTTCCACATCATCCTTGCAGTTCCAGAATGAACCAGGAAAATACAGGCCTGCCTCTGGCGCCACCATGTGGTCCATGCCATGTAAGGCTCAAGAAGGAAACTCACACCTATTGCCAAGTCCAGGCTTTCCTCATCTCTTTGCATTTTTGCTACAGTGAAGATTGTATGGATAAGCTCCAAGACTCCACCACCCAAGTCCAATCATTAACACAACAAATTCAGTAAAAAGCCCTGTGGCATTTTGCAGACATGAATTTTGTGAATAAAATCATAGGCCCACGGTCTAGCTATTAGCTATTTAGTCACACATGTATCCATGCATACAGCAAGGACTGTCACCATGGCCAAATAGCTGCAAAAAATTAAAAGGTACAGTCCATCTGCGGAATTTCTATGCAAATACACCAAGCTGGTGACCAAATATATTGCAGCAAACTGTCATCAAGGATGACATTTCTGATTCTTGCATTTCATCTCCTTATCTTGTGTGTGTGTGGGGAGGACACTCTAGACATTCATGACAGCAAGGATGGAATTGGAGATGGGAGACTGCCAGTAGATGGTAATATCCTCAGTTTGCCTCCTAAGCAACTAGGGACCCTATACTACTACTCACCAGCAAGGATGGATCACCTAACATAATCCCAGGCAAGACCATGCAACAAAACAGAAACCATGCAACATCATTACAAAACCTAATCCTATCAAGCTTTGCACAATGGCTGGGGATCGAGTGGGTGAACATATGTTTAATTAAACAAAACAAAAAACAGTTCCTCACTGCAATGTAACTGCCTCAGGCAAGCTCAGCAATGACCCATGCTTGAAAAGTTGAAGCCAAGAAGAGAGAGATACCTGCACAACTCACTTGCAACAACAAATACTTACATCTTCTCAATAAGCTCCTTCTCATCCAAGGCACCAGGCAGATCTCGCTTGTTCCCAAGAACTAGGACCTAGCAAAGCAAAGAGGGCAGACATCTTAGCTTAATACACAAGTGACTATGTACTTCTGGAACTGTCTTGGGCAGCTCCTTTGGCTAAGCAGGGCAAAACCTACACACCTATGTTTTTAATACTCTCTGAACTCAGTAATATGGGAGGACTTCTGTCTATCTGAGCAAGAAACACTTTCAAGACACAGGGATTCTTCAAAGCACCTATCATGTTTCTAAGAGCTAGGGAAACCCAGGGAGGACACCAGTAGAGTGGAAATTACAGGAGCCTTGACATCTGAGTGTTTTTACCTGCATGGGGTTGTTAATTATTTATCTTGTCGTCTGTTCTTAGATATCTCTCATCTGCTAACAAACATGAAGAATTACCTTTGTAAACCTTAGCTGCAGCATATATTATATAGAATAGAAGATGTAGAGAGATCACCAGCAGCAGGCATTTTCCCATTTCACAATGAAGAAACTCTGGAGTCCATTTAGTATTAAATACTTGCAGCTGATATGTCCCAGACTTGTCACTTGAATCCCACATACAGAGCCCCCTCAATAGCCCTACTCAGGTCACCCCCCAAGAAGTCCAAAGTGCATGAGAGAAAGAACACAGATGAGTCCACTGGCTGTACCTCCCCCTCTCTTGAGTCCTCATCATTCATCAGAGCCCTCTGTTTTGGAAGAATTAATTCCAGTGGGGTGGGCAAGCTTCTCTTACTTGTTTTGGCTCCCTGAGTGATTTAGAACCTTGATTTTCCAGGGGTCTAGATCCTGCAGGGAGCCCACAGAAGTAACAGAAAGTACCCACACAACCTTGCTGGAAGCCCCTGCTGAAGCTATTCCTCCAACATATGGAAGACTGCAGGGGCAGGGGGCAAAGGCATGTTGTGGGGGTTGAAGCCAACAGTCTCTCCCTCTGCGTGAGAGAGAGAGAGAGAGAGAGAGAGCGCGCGCGCGCGCGCGCGCAAACGAGCAAGCGAACATGCAAACTTCTGGAAAGGAATAAGGCTTTACAGCAGGAATATAGCTGTTTGCCCCAATGCAACCTCACAGTTCTAGTCCAAGCTACATGCAGAAGACACTGGTACTTCCTTGCTTTTCCTGTCAGTCAGCCTCAGGTAAGTAAACAAAGCACACTTCAGTAAGTAAAGATCTTTAAGCCCGCCTTTTTTGTTCCAGAACTACTGCAGAAAGGAAGCTATCTATCCTCTCCACTTTTAGCAGCTGCTTGGATATGTACTGGGAAAGGAAGAGCTGGCAAGGCAAGCTAAAGTGGCCCAATGCTCCTTTTGAATACACTGAATTGAAGACTGCTTGCCCAGTCCCATTGATATCTTGTCATTTGCACAGCAAGTGGTAAAAACTTTTCCATATTAGCAGAGAATGGCAAAAGGAAAGGGTCAAGGCAATGCTCCATCATGGAAAACCCAGCAGATCAGACATTCCCAACACAATCAGCCCAGCACAGGTCACAAGGAGATAGGAGAATAATCCACCAGAATGAGTAATCTGTTGTTTTCTGGTGGTGCAATGACAGGCACAAAAGTTTACAGCTAGCAGTAGGACTAACAAAATTAATCAAACACAAATATTAAAAATCACAGACCTCTAAAATGTCAGAGCAGTTGTGATAAAAATCCTTGAGTAAGCAAAGTGCATTTGAATCTGAATGCCAGATGTGTACACTCATTCAAAGCAAAATAATTTAAGCCCTCCCACCCCTGCTCTCTCTCGTGCACATGCATATTTATACAATCATGGAGGGCATCTGGGATTAAACTTTAATGCATTCCCACGGCATCTACCACCACCTTAGCAATTGAACAAAATCTTGCCCAAACTCGCTGTTCGTCAGTAAATAGGAAATAGTTTTCTTTTGAAAAGTAAACCACAGACGAAGCACTGCTCAATTTTTAAACTTTCAGGCAATACTGCAGTAGGCTCCATCAACAGCAGATGTCTAGCACTACATTTGTTTTGTGAAAGAGCATAATCCTACTAAAATGAAGGATTTGGAGTCTGCCAAATACTGAAAATGGCAAATATCGATCAAGACAGCTTAATGCAAGAATTGTCTTGTTTTCCCCAACTCAGTCTCCCAACCTGTGGATTTGACAAAAATGAAACACTACATCTACTGCACAATTTTAGCCTTACCTCTCAAGATCTAGCTGACCTATTGCATTTGGGGGCAGGAGGGAGAAGAGACGCAGTTGCTCATCCTGCCTGAGCCACATCGCTGGGTCTTGCCACAAGTGGTTCAACTTACCGGGATGCCCTGGAGTTGTGGTTTATCAAGCAGGTTATGAAGTTCATTCTTCGAGGCTTCAATCTTCTCCTGGTCTGCAGCGTCTACCATGTACCTAGAATGAAACAAGCACACTTAACAACAAAGCACAAGAGGTGACTGGTGGAACTACAGGAAGCAGACCAAACCACAGAAGGGGTAAATGTAATACTATACAGATTTGACCAGGGCCCAGGAAACAAAATGGCTTCCTTGGAGTGTTCACTGGAGTCTAATCCACTGACTCTACCCCACTAACCTGAATTACGTCAATCACCCTTTGTTGCTACTTCCCGTCTCATATCGTAGGACATTTTTAAATGGTGCTCACAGTTCTCATCAGGGCACCAGAAGAGGAACAATTCTCACAGAGGACTGCAGAGAATGGAAAGATTTGTGACGTCAGGCTGATTTCTATAATTTTACTGACCAACTGCCAATACATGTTCAAATTCAAAGAGTCTAATAATATTGGGAAGGGAACTGGAGGCACTGGGCATGGAGCAATGGGAAGATTTTGTCTGAGTTACTTGATTCTACAAGAGAAAGTTGTCTCCAACAGTGCCATTCCATCAGCAGAAGTAACACTGCTGAAAGAATGGATTTCTCCTCTCCATGCAGGCCTCCCCTATCCTTCAAATCTGCTCTAGTGAGTAGGGAAGCCCTCCAGAGAAGACTGCAGTGAAGGCTACAGATGCAGGAGAGGACAAAGAAGTCCTGCTTCATGGGTGCACCTGTGCTTGCATGATGTTAGATTGAACTATTTGATATAGCTGCAATCTGAAACCCAAGACACAGTGAGTGGTGGTTGAAAGCAGACTGATGAGAGGGTGGGAACCCTAGCTGTGTGTGTGTGTGCGTGCGTGCGTGCATGTGTGTAGGTGGGGTTCCCACCAACAATTCTAATGAACTGAGAGAATCTTCCCAAATGCAGGCACTGTGCGGGCACAGCACCCATTTATGGGATACACAGAGACCATGATGAAGAACCTAGGCTGCCATAGAAAACAACAGAGCTTTGCCTTCTGCTCTCTGCTACATTCTACATTCTGGTGCCCCTCTTGAAAGGCAATCCTTACTCACCCCTTTTACAGATCTATGCTCATCCCTCCCCACACAAAACTCTGGGAAGTTTGTGGGCAATGCAACATTTCAGCGAATCTAACTGCTGGTTCCACAACGGGAACTTGATTCACCCCAGGCAAGTGGCATCTGTTTGAAAAGATTCATAAGGCAAAATGTGCCAGGCTAAGTTCACCTAGAAAGCCTTAAGGCAGTGAATAAGGGATCTTTAGCACAGATTTCACTGGCATCGGCATAATTCAAAGTCTGTGAGGAAATACTTCTCTGACTGGAGCAAGATATTTTCCTTAAGGTCATCAATGGTCATCACAAGCCAGCTGAGAACTGCTGGAACAGCAAGCAGAAGTCCACATGTCTAAAGAGCTGATGTCATGGGAACTGATGGCATGCGACTCAACTAGTGGCACAGCAGGCTGGCAACAGGGCAGTACTGGCCAACTAGAATTTGCAGGGCCACATTGTGAAAATTCTTTCAATATCCATCCACCTATTAGATTCTTATATATCTCTACCTTTTACCTTTGGTGGTACTCTACTGGGGAAGGGGTATACACAAGCAGTGAGCAGGGCCAGCACTGGAAGTGGGTGGGACTATCTCCTCTGTTGCCACCCCCTCTTCTCTCTCTACACCCACTAAAGTTGGCTCTAAAGGAAGAGACGTGAGATTCTTCCTGTGGCTCTGAACTCAGACAAGGACTGCAGACTACAGCATTCTCCTCATCCTAATTTTGTGAATGAGCACACACAAGGTCACACATCTGCCTTACTGAGACTGAGTGCCAGCAATCTAGAGCTAGCTCTCTCCCAAATTCCAGCTTCTGCCAATTGATAGAAAGCAAGCAAAAGAAACCATTTCTGTTTGGATAGGATAAGGAAACAAAAAGATTTCAAGCAGTGACCACCATATGAAAGATGAAGAAACTACTATTAGCTCCAGCCAATAAAGTTGGTGCTTCTGAGAGTTATAGCCCAAAAAATCTGAAACGCTAGATCACCTGCCTCTGAAGTAGGTAATACTGGACAAAAAGGACAAATCTGATCTGGTACAGGGCAGCTTCTTACCGAATCCCAAGTTCTTCCTTTGGTGGTACCTTTGCAGAGATAACTTTTGGCTCTGGCAGAAGTTCTCAAACTGATCCATGATCTCCATTCAGGTGGTACAGTGCAAGAACAATCAAGATCTATACTTTGCACTGCAGTAAATTCTTGTTTTCTAACCATGGAGATCAAGGCTGTTTTGACCAGGGCCAGATGTATTCAACAAGCAGGCTAATAAGCTGGTGCAATCTACAAATCACCCCTGAAAACTATACCATTTAATGGACCACTTTTCAGCAACCTGGTCTAGGCTCCCTTTATTTTCCTAACTAGTTTTAATGATGATGCTGGCGGTGAAGGATAAAGTGCTCTGCCAAACCTGCAGCGATTCTCAAACGATGGGCAGGGAAAGGGGAGGCTGTGAGAGACTCACTGCATTAAAACTTTGCCTTCTTCTGTTTTCAGCTAGAGGGAGGATGAACAGAAGAGGCTGCTTTCATTCTCTAGAAAGCAGCAGAACAGCTGGAGGATGTTCCGTCCATCCGTACCAGGTACCTCAAAGCAATACAGAGCATTTCAAGAAAAGTAGCACTAACAGCCACTAATGCCTCAGCAAGGACAAGAGATCTTTCAGCAACAACATGGCACATCTGCAGCTGTCAATAAGGGCCTTGCCCTGTGGTCTGAACTAAACAGGAGCCTGAAGAAACTTCCTCATGCTGCCTTCCATGCCTCTTAACATATTTGACAAGTGCCCCTTTGTGTAAAAGTGGCCTGATGTAAAAGCAGCATCTTGTGTGTGACCTAGGATGCAAATAAGAATGGCCATCCAATGGTTATTCGAGTATGCTGGAACCTCTCAGTATGGGTATTCACACAGTTCAAAAAAAAGGAGAGGTCTAACATCCAATAGAGATTCAGTATGTCATTCTACAACTTATAAAGCAGGAATGTCCATCTTGCATGGCCTACAGCTTCCATCAACCCTGGCCAGCATAGCCAATGGTGAAGAATCATAAGAATTTCAGGGCATCCATTCCTAACACACCCCTGGTATAAAGGAATTTGACTTCAGCATAGAAGTGAAACCAATTGTAACTCAGACAAGACATTTGATACAGAATGTGAAGAGAACAGTCCCACTGGCAACTGTCCCTGGTCCAAGAGGGAAGAAAGAAATGCATCACTAACAGACTGCAGAGATTTTTTAGGGGTTGGTTCTTATAGGATTACAAGGCCAAAGTCTGGTAGTTGAGGAAGCCTCAAGGGGGACACTCTAATCCTCCGTAACCACTCAACATATTCAATAATGTCTTGAAATTGAGATGAAAAACCTTGTTTGCAAGGAGGCATGTAAGCAGCAATAGATGGGAAGTTTATACAGAGAAGGGCCAAAACTCAGCAGCAAAGGAATGCCCTACATACAGAAGGTATATGATTAAGTCACTGCTATCTCTAATCACATAACTTTACGATGCAGGCTTAGGAAAGACCTGCTTGGGATCTCTGAAAGGCACTTTCAGATGGGGGATCAATCAGAACAGAAGAACCACATTGAATCGGACCAAAGGCCTCCTTTAGTCCAACATTCTGATGCAGCAGTGGTCAACCAGCTGACTGTGGTAAGCCCACAATCACACTCAAGGGCAAAAGCACCCTTCTACTAGTTTTCCTCCGCAAGTGGGAACAGTTTCCAAAGCTGAAGTAATATACTGTACTTTTCCATTTATAAGACGCTCTCATGTAGCATCTTATACACAGAAAAATATGGTATAGTCATCATGGCTGGTAGCCACTCATAATGTCTCAGCAAGTTACCTTTACTCGGTAACAAGAAGTAGCATATGCAAACTGGTCAATAGGCATGAAGAGAAGTTTCTATGTCTCTGGTATTACCCCCCCCATCTCAAAGTCATCAAGGGGCAACTGAAACATTCTGGATTGCTCTTCCTCTGCACCCAAGAGCAATGAGCACCCAACAGGGTCACAAGCCAATGCATCTCCAACATGCATCACTGGCTCTGTACGGCAATTTGGAGACTTGAGACTGAGAACCCATCCAAAATTACTTACACAATGGCACTGACTCCACGGCAGTACCTCTCCCACATGCTGCGAAAACGAGGTTGGCCTCCAATGTCCCAAAGCTGTGGGGAGAGGGGAGAAATGAAGATTAGAAGTTGGATGTCAGAACTTGCAAACCTAAGCACTCCTTCCTCTTGACTCACATTTCTCTCCATGCTCTGCTCTCCTACACAGTCCCACTTCTCAGTTAAAGGCCACTCTCCCGCCATAGCCCACAATCTTCTGTAGCTGAGGAAACAATCCGAAGGGAAACCATGAACCGCCAAAGAGCCCTTAAGTTTCTGACCTGCAGTGCTTAAACTTCCCTGCCACAAAAGCAATCTCACTTTCACAAAAGTTACAAAGTGCTTGTATAATCCAATTATTATTGTGAATAAAAATCTACTAGAGTTTGTACAAAAAATCAAGCAACAGAACTTATACTTAAGCACTTAAATGGAACTAAGGAAGTTGAACTGTCTGTGGGTGTCATTAGAGATGCTGATTAAGCAGTATTTGCCACTACACTATTTGGACAACTCCTTTCTGGATTTCTAATGAACAGTTGTGATAATCCTCCAGTCAATCTACAGAAGAACTAGACTATCCAGCTTCAGTCAGAGAATGGTCATCCAGAAACCCCTGCATCAATAGTCTGACTACCCAAAATAGTTATTCTGGAGCATCTTATGCTTTTCCTTAACCAGCCTTTAGATTTAATATCTCTAAGGTGGTTTACTAACAGTTTTGCAAAATGAAGCACACCACTTAAAAACATGCAAATTAACAGAAGATTATAGTTCACACTCAAATTCTGAGGAGAAAGTAGGAAGCCCCACTCTGCCTGCCTGCAAATTTTAGTAAAATGATGCCTTCTAAAAATGTAGCTGAGCCATGACATTCTCTGCCCACCATCCCATAATTCAAGTTCTTAATTCACTTTCATAAAAACCAATTTGAGTACCCCAAATGCTCTTGGCACCTGAAAGTCTGTGTGAGATTATATAAAAGTAATGTGAACTCAGTTCCATTAATCTCCCTGAATCTCCTTAACTTCTTAAGCTTCTCTCTAGCACTATGTTGCAAATTAAGCAGCTGGCTTCGAAGAAACACTTTGCATCTTACCTTTATAGTAACATTTCCCTTGGTGATCTTCCTCATATTGAAGCCCACTGTTGGGATCATATCTTCATTGAACTGCCCCGACTACAACGAAACAAAAAGAGAGGAGTCATTCACCTGAAAAAATTTCTGCTTCTTGTGTACCCCACAGTGGGAGCAGGCCACACCACAGAACTGGCAATCCATAAACCTAGCTGCAAAGGAGTAGCTATCATGAATGAATAATGTTGTAAAACATTATTCATTCCAAGCACTCAGGTACTTTGAATAATAGATCCAATATCTACAACATGAAAGACACACTGGGTGAATGGGAAAAACCAGTGTGAAAGCCCCTTATGCAATACTGTCTTGGTTGATGGTGCATCCACCTTGACTGGCTCTACATGCATGGCTCCACATGCTCTCTCTGTTGGCAATAATCATCTGTCACATTAAGAATTCGCTACAATATCTATTCACCAGGTGCCTAACTCTGATTCTGTTTAAAAATAATACAGTGCCATCCCTGCGATTACAGAGTGTTTTGATAGTGTCTATAGCTGAAACAGTCTCTGTGCTGTTGAATGATCATAAGACTCATGGGGACAGATAGACCTTTCAAAGCATGACGACTACATTGCCGTAGTCGCCCTATCAGTTTCATAGACAATAGTGGCTTGGAGCACTGAACCAAATCTACAGCGGAAACTGTACAAGAGAATCAGCTTTCTTCTTCTGTTCCGTTGTATGTAGATGAGTGGGAGGAACAGCCAGTTCATTTTTAATGGGTTTATTATACTGATATCCTGCCTTTTTTTCCTTCCAAGGAACTCAAGACAGTTTACATAATTATCCTTCATCTTTCAATCTTATCCTCACAACAGCAACCCTGTGAGGTAGGGTGGGCTGAGCAACAGCGGCCGGCCCAAAGTTTCCCAGTGAACCAAGAGTGTTAAACTTCAGGGAAGAAACTCAAAGTTCCAGTCAGCAATACAGCTCATTGGGAAATGCCTTCTCCATGAAAGCCAAATATTGCTGTGCTATGTATGCTACTGATCACGTTAGGCTCCCTGAACGAAGCACAGGATCAGATGTGAGTGTGAGAAAAAGAATGGTCCAAACTCCAAGCTTAAGAGCTTCATTATGAAAGCCTATATGCTTTCATAAGGCCACCTGTGTCTGGGTACAATATGCAGGACATACCCATCATGTTACATAACAAAAGCCTGTCCTCCCCAAGCACCAAACACTGGCATAAAGCCTGGTGGGTGAAGACTAGGCTCAAAGCTACAGACAGTAAAGCAGTGCTCTTAACATTGCTTTCCCACCTCTCCCTCTGCCCACAAGCTGTTTTTTGTGGACATCACTGCCCAGGAGCTCTTAAAGCACAGTATAAGAACCAAATAAAACAAAGCAACTATTTGTTGCATCTTCTTGTATTCAAAGGACAGTTGAGGAAGCTTCACAAGGCACAGTTCAAGAACTGGTCAGGACAGAGGATGAACCATGACCAAGCCACAGATTTGTAAAACTCCAAGAGTGACAGCAATGTACATTCGGGATATTGTGGTCCTTGGATTCATCCTAATACACAAGGTGTTGGAGCCAGGAACAGAGACTTCAGCATTTGTTTTGAAACAGCTCATACATGCACACACCACCTTAACTGCACCACAAGACACTCCTGAAAACTGGAGCAATTTTTTCCTAAAGGCCAACTACCATGTAGATATTGTCTGGTAGCAAACATTCTACAGAAGAGCAATTTTGTTTACTCTCACCAGCCTTCCTCATTTTCGAGTATCAATATGGCAAAAGCATTAAGCAGAAACCAATTCATTCAACCATAGATAAGGAAATTATGCAACCGGGTATTCAGGTTAATTTATTGGCCTTCTTTAACTTCAACCATGTGGAGATACTTTTAGAAGTAGAGAGTTCAGCTTGTTTTATTATTAGCTACACTCTTTTCAGTATTTCAGTGTATTGACATACTGTTAGACACACTGTGTACTTTGGAATGGATTTCTGTAGATGTAAGCTACTATGGGAGCCAATTTTGGTTGAAAAGTGGAATGTAGATAAAATACAGAAATGTAAACAGAAATCTAGTTCTGATGTTGGCCAGATCTTTAGTCTTTCCTTAAGCATGCTGCCTGAAACAGAAAAATCCTACATTATCTTTTAATAGAAGTTTTCATGGAAAATATGCTTGGGTTGACAAAAGCATTTAAAAAACCCAGTTATTAACAGGAAGACTACTGGGACTGGCACTACTGGGACTTGTACAAGATACTGTATGTATCATTAACATTTATATGCCACTTATGCTGAAAACCCATCACGGCAGTGCATGGCATTTTTGAACAATAAAACTGTAACAAAATAAAAACAAGAACATTAAAACAGTAGAATATCATCTTAGTCAGAGGCTGAGGTGGTTACTTAGACAGCACTTAAGTTTTTAAAAATTACAATCAATCTGAAGTCCATGACACCACCTCTTTAATACCGCTGGAAGACTTGGGTCTAATTTGGCAATTTGAAACTGAGGTTTTTACTGTATGGGGGTAGGATGGGGTAACTCTGGATACTAAAGATAGGTGTTCTCTTCCCTTTTCTTCTACACAAAATTTCTCCATCTAGCACAGGGAAAGCAGCTTTTCAAACTCATGGTACTCAACCCTACAGCCCTGATATTCATTATAAGCTGTTCAGGAACTGAGCAGAATTTTTCCTCTTTCCAACTCAGTGTCCTTTTCTCTTTTCAACCAAATCTTTTCCTGTTTTATATAAGGGGAGTAACAGTTGTGCAGGCTAGTCACACACCCAAAGCCCCAACATCCATAACAAATATGCTTCTCTGTTACAGGTGTTGGTGCCTGGGATGTGTGGCTAGCCTGCATTTGGCTCCCATGGGAAAAGGCCCTGCACATGTACTGACATATGCATACATAGCTCCTCTACATGCAAGGGAAATCTGGTCAAATCAGGGTCCCCCCTTCTGTAGAAGAGTAGCGTGCACATACATCAGAGGGGATGGAGCACACTTCCCCATGCTGTTCGAACACATGGAGAGTTCCATTGTGAGCAACTGCAGCAGGAGGCAGCAACATAGCACAGGAGAGGTCCCTACCAACATTTCTTCAACAACTTAGGTTGTATGTGAAACTTCCTTTGCTAACCTTCTGTGTCCCAACAACCCTGAACTACCAACTCAACAGAGTCAGGCAAAACTTCTCATTTGCTTGGACCATTCTTCCACTATGAGTACACAAATGGGAGCTACCCATTGAAAATGGATGACAGTTTGGAAACCCCTATTGTGACAGGTATATTTCAGCCCCCTTTCAGGGATTGGACTAAAGAGCACCTTAGGGTCAGAGTTAGAAAAAGAATGATTCCCAGGATAGTATAAAGGCCTGGAGGGTGTTCAGGAAGGGCACAAAGAGTTGTGCAGAAATGTTGAGGAAATAGTAATTTTGGAAATCCATATTGCAGTAGGTGTATTTCAGCCCCCTTTTAGGGTTAGGGCTAATGCCCATCTTAGGGTTAGGGTTAGAATAACACCGCTTCCAAGGATGGTATAAAGACGTTCAAGAAGGGCAGAAAGATTGAGCTGTGCAGAAATATCTCCAGGAAGGGGACATTTTGAAAATTCCTATTTCAGCAGGTGTATTTCAGTCCCTTTTAGGGTTAGGACTGATGCCTAGAATAGGGTTAGGGTTCAAAAAACAATGCTTACCAGGATGTTATAAAGGCCTGCAGGGCATTCAGGAAGGGCAAAAAGACTGAGCTGTGCAGAAATATCTCCAGGAAGCGGATATTTTGGAAATCCCTATCATGGCAGGTGTATTTCAGCTCCATTTTAGGGTTCAGGCTAATGCCCAGCTTAGGCTTAGAAAAATGCTTCCCAGGATGGTGAAAATGTCTGCCATGTTTTCAGCTAGCACAGAATGAATGAGTTGTTCAGAAACATATTCAGGAAGTGGACATTCTGGAAATCCCTATTGTAACAAGTGTTTTTCAGTCCCCTTTAGGGTCAAGGCTAAGGCATAGCTACCCAGGAAACCACCTCCTCTATAAGCCTTTGCTGAAGCCTCTGCCATCTTACATCTCCTATAATCACTTACTTCTCTCACCTTTCTTCTTCCTTCCACCCATCACAGTTAACTAGAAGCCAAAGCAGCAGCGTTTGTAAGCCTGCAGTGAGGATCCTGGCCTCAATGGAATTTATTATCACTAGCAAGATACGTGGGCATGCTTTTAACTGCTTAAGAGAAGCAGATTGCCTCTCATGTTTTTTTTTTTCCCCTCAGGCTTTTTATACTTCTGCCACACTCAGGGCTCCTCTCAGAGTAGATGCTCCTTTTGTATGTGGCTGGGGCTGTTTCTACCTGGGCAAGCAAGTCATGCTGCATATAAACAGAGTCATGTTTTTAAAAGCTGAGGAGGAGTACTTGGCTATTACATGGAATCTTGCTGGAACCACTTCACAGCACAGCAGATTCTCAAGTACTCTGTTCTTAGTGAGGCAAATTTTAACACAGATTAAGTGGAAGATTTAAATATTTCAGTCACTGCTATCATGTAGGACTTCTTGTTTGTTCTGGGAGATTTCATACCTGACACCAATTCTTGCATTTAGAAAGAAACATGGTGCACAGGGTGGAGAATGCCGTTGTGCCACTTGCATGAGTAGCAAGGAGATTTTGAGCCCATTTGTGTGCATGATTGTTATGGCTCAATTTAATGATTTAAAGTGGTACACAGGAAGAAAAATAGTTAAATATAAAACCAAATTGTAAAATGCCACAATAAACCAGTTAAACCAGCACATAATTGAAAGTAGAAATATTAATCTATCACGTTCTTAGTTCTTGTTACTAAGAAATAGTCAGAAGTTTCTCCTAGATAAAGAGAATTTTCCTCCATCCACTGCATCCAAAGTTTAGTCAGGCTCAAGACAGCCTCCAAAGGGAGTGCACTCTTGGAAATGCCAATTTAGAAAACTGCCCCACCTCTTCACATATCTTATGGTACACTTGCTCTATAGCTGGTACGCAAAAGAAAGCATGATGAGCAGATCTTAAGGAATTAGA